CAGGGATCGAGCTGCAGAAAGACGAAATCTGTATGGATCATCTCTTGGCACTGATGCTGTTGGATTGGATTCAAGTAAGAATACACTTTCTTAAGTTTTTATCACATACAATTGCTGTCATTTTTCCATTGTCATTCCTTCAGCACGATGCGTTAGTAGTAACAGCAACATACTGTCTGTCCAGAATTTTTTCTTTTCTTTTGTTATTCTCATCATTATCATTTTGCTGAAGCATCGTTGGCAGTATGCTCAGTTTCGTATTAGTGTTAAACTGTTTATATAAGGCTGACTTGGGTTTTTCTGGGGATTTTTTTGTTACCATTGGAATATGTCTTTGACCTAACATACAGTTTAGGGATGATATTTTCGGTTTTGCTTGTAAGATTTTTTATTGATTTTCTGGAAATTACCTGTTGTCAAGCTGGTGACTATCCGTCCCGAAAGGGTTCAAGTGAGATAGGGTCAATGCCGTTTCCTCCTGGCGTGGGTGAACGTTCCAGTGGTGAAATTGGCAACAGTGAAAACTATGAAATTATTACTGCTGATAGAGCAATCGATGAAAGCAATGTGGGCAACCGTATTCTACGCAACATGGGGTGGCAAGAGGGACTGGTAAGTTTATCTCCCACATATTTCTCAGTTTGAGATGCTCTCAGGCTTGATAGCATTTTTTTTACAATGTCTCCTGCATTTGGTCATGAGTGTTTATGCCCCCTTTTTATTTCTCCTGGTACTGCAAATGCATCTGACTTTGGAATCCTATTTATGTAAGTTTTTTTGAGCCGGTAAATATGCCTATTTGTAATGAGGTAGCAGTATCAAATTTATTTTAATGCAACTCTCTGGTTTTAACTGGAGTACTCTAGAGCTTGTTAAAGCTGTTAGTATCAGTTAGCAAATCTTAAGTTTGTCTTGTTGATCTCTTTCCAGAAATAACTAAGTATACCTTTGTGTCTTGACTAGTTGATTCTGAGTCCATGTGCTTTCTTGTGTATAGACTCTACAGTTTAAGAATCAGAAGTCACTGACATATTTAGCCTGAGTGAGAAGATGTCTAGTGGGAATGAATAGTTTGTTGGGCACTAGAAGTGACGGAATGCAGGGGGAATCAGTGTGCCCATATTCCCTACATTGTGGAAAGTGCGAAAATATTGTGTTGTATTCCTTCTGATGTGAGTGTGCATTTGTATTGTTTTTGTTTCTTGCAACTACTTCGAAAATATCCAGGGTCTCGGAAAGGATGGCAGCGGTATCAAGGAACCAGTCCAGGCAAAATCCGTGGACGTCAGGGCTGGACTGGGAAGTCAGCAGCGGAAGGCTGATCCATCCCTGGAGGCCCAAGCCGGGGACAGCTACAAAACCATCATCCAGAAGAAGGCCATGGCAAGATTCAAGGAGATGTCCTAGCTAGACTTTTTTTTTCTATTGGGTTGGCACATTTTGTAGTCCGTTTTTTTTTTACAGTCTGCACTGTTTTGCTTGTGCTTTTTCATAGACCTAGCTGCTGAATTGTGATTTATTATCCTCAAAGGGCACCGTGTTTATCTTATTACTATGTAGTTCGAGACCTGGATGCTTTTTGTCTTGTGGGTTGGGGTTTTCATTTGCACGAAGCCCGTGTGTTGATCAGTTGCTTTGCCACACACGATGTGGCAGTAGAGCCTCTACATCTCTGCATCAGATTGTGGCACATGTTTTTTAAAACGGTGTCAGAGATTGATGAATTTATAAAGTTGCTGCACCGGGATTGAGAAAAACTGCTGCCTGTTCTTTTATGTTTGAGGGAGGGGTTATTTTGAGGGATTGAGAAAATCTTTGTAGGAAAAGACGATTGAAAAGGGAATCTACTGGAGCATTTTTACCCCTTCAATCTCCTATTTCTTGTATAGAGAAAGGACATTGATTTTACTCAATCTCATGGAGTTGTTCTGAGAATTTATTATTTTTGGATGGTGCCTGGTGGTCTTAACGACTACTTGATGCACCTTCAAGTAATCTGGCTGCTTTTTGACCGTGGTGAGGGGATGATAATGGCAGGTCGAGCTCGGATCAGCTTTTTTTTTTCAATAAATAAAAGAATCGTGCGAATTGAGCATCAGTGGAGCATCAGTGTATACTAGGTTATCGCAAAAGTAATCAGCTTGTAATCTTCTGTTTGCATCTTTCCGATTCCGATCTATGTACCTTCGACTCCTTCGAGTCTCACTTTGGCACTGATTGGCCATTGGCATTATTACCAACCAGGTGAGCAACCTCTAAATCAACCTCCTCTTGAATCTTTGCTTCGAGTTCTTCAATCTCAGCGTCAAGTTTAATTGATGAACTCCCCACAAGAGTGTAACGCCCTGCATTTTCACTACCAAGGTAAAAATACCGGCTCAAGGATTATTACCTGACAAAGCGATGCCCTCTCGAATAATGACACTAATCAAAGTGATGCAACAGAACGATAGTTAGGACAACCTTACAACATTTGTCACATTTAATAAAAAAGGCAATTAATAAGCAAGGCACTCGATTAAATGCCAACTCTAGACATGGTAGCAGATTTAAGGTACAAAGTCTCTTATTTTATCCTGTAGTTATCACATTCACTATGGAACACTGATTTATGCAGTGTATTTCCACAAATTTTCAAAAGACAAATGCTCAAGTAACAAACTATTGTGTGTTAAGTATATACGTTTGCTTCACAGAGCAACGAAAAAGAAAACATTGATTTCATAGCGCCAACAAAGATGAAAAGTTGGAAACCCACTTATAGGTCCACAAAGGAAATTCCAATGAAGAATCTTGTTTATTTACAGAGAAATATTACAAGCTCAAAGATGTCCTAGGGCCCAGATAACAAATCATATAGATACAAACTGCACTCCCTCAACTTTTTGTTTTGTTCATTTATGCTCTATAATTTTTCTATAACTGTGAGTACAAGCGTACGAGCAATAAGTACTATTATACTCTGTTTTTTACCTTCTTTCAGTTACCGTTCTAGAAGATTTGAGGTACAATTTATGTTCATTTTATAATACATTTCAGTTCCTACAAACATCACATTTCTTTCGGTTCCTACAGATTTAGATGTTCTCAGCTCCCACCAATCTCTCTTAATTTGCATGGTTAACATAACAGACTGCGCCATTGCTTGTGCTGAGTGATGTGCTACCTGTATGATCAATTGGCAAAGTCACGATTCATGCACACACTATGCCAGCGATTAGCGATTGAGGATTCCTTCTGATTGGTTGTGGTGATTTCTTCTTTTCGGGTGCGGCGGTCCATGTCCTTGTTGGATCCAATTGGATATTTTTCTGCATGTTTACAGTCATCTATCAGGCTTGCCTCATTATCATTGGAAGCTTCATGTTTCAGTTATCCATCTGCCCAAGATCAGTTTGGGACATTTATCTGGTTGATTGGTATTTGGCTGACAGGCAGCTGGTCAATATCACCAAAGATGGGAGGCAAGGTTGCTTCCAATGAACAAATATGGCCCATGGGGGTTCATGGGAGTTCCAAAGTTTGTTTCTCTTCATCAGCTTTGAAGCTCATCTCTCATTAATATTATAAATTTTTGGTTCTGGGCACTAGCTTTTATTCAAATCTTTAGCTCGAAGTGGCACTGTAGTGGCATGGACTGATGGTAGTCTGGAGTTATGTTCCATAGACGCCCTCACAGTGTTCGATGAAATGTTGATGACAGACATCTGAATTTGGCGTGAGATCCTGCTTCAACGATAACATTGAGCTCATCTCTTCAGAAGGTTCTACTTCTTATTAACCAATTTTATTCTTTGTTTTACAGGGTGGGTTATTGTCCAATTTATATGCAGCTATGCACCCGTCCACTATGCCCTTGTATATGAGGTAAACACACACATTCACATTGCTTACTGATATTCAATCATAAGCTAACATTGTCGCTAGAGTGATAAGTGATAACTGAATTACTATTTATTTCACTCCATAGTAGAATTCAGAACTCAAGTGGGCATGGTCTGCCGCACTTTCAACTTGTATTTCCTTTGTCAGTTGCGTTTGTCTCTTTGAACTTTGAAGAAGAATAGTTGGGAGAGGTTTGCTTTCTAAATGGGGTCATAAATTTGCAGACAGCTAAGGCCTCCCAAAAACGACAAAAAGACCATGGCCAAGAAGCACTAGAAGAAATCATCGTAGTCCTTCCGACTTCCGAAACCCCGAGCATGCTCGCAACACCGGCAACGTAGGAGAGCGAATGTCCGGCACCTAAATCCACTGGTACAAGAGTACAAGACCATCAAACCTCAATAGCAAACGCCTAGAGCTGCACGTGGACATCGTACAGCTCTGCTTCTCCACTGCAGCACCTCCTAAGCCTGTTCCGTTTTATTTCATGTAAAGCTCATTCAACTTTCAATCTACATATCGACAATGTGAACATATATACTACCTCTTCAATATACTGTAAGTTCATTTTAGCGATCGACAATGTTCTGCCTTTGTGATTATTTCTGTTTATTATGTGCTTCAAATACTGTATTCTAGCTGCAGGATCCAATGCGCTATAGAAAAGTTACATATATACTGTACATGATACATCAGGGCCCATATATATTATCAAAAAATCTTATATGTCGGCCGATCAAAAACTGGGCCAATCTTGCTTGGTGCGGCGAGGCCGCGTCCGGCTTTTCCCTGATTTTACTCTCTTGTGATGAAAGAGAATACAATACAATCGACCCAGCCCAGATACGGTGGCTAAATAGAAATAGTGAAAGATGGGCCACTGAAAGCACAAATGACCAGACCATAAGGGTGGCCCGTTCGAAGACGGTCCATCGTACTTCACCAGAAACATCACCACCCGCATCTCCAAGCCCAGTATATAAATAGCCACTTCGCCCACCCCTAGGGTTTTCCGTGCCGCCAGCCAGCCCCTTAACCCTCGTTCCTCTCGCGCAGCCACAGCCTCCTTCTCCACCTCCACATCTCCCCCGGCGGCGGCGCGGCCAGCTTCAACCATGGCGGACTCCAAGGCCACCTCAGCGGTCACCCTACGCACCCGCAAGTTCATGACCAACCGCCTCCTCGCCCGCAAGCAATTCGTAAGCGGCATCCATCAGACCAACACCTCCCGATCCTTCCATCGGTGCTCCCCGTCTCGTCCCCCAATCTCTGACTAAATCTCTGCCTCTCCTCCCTCTGCCTTGCAGGTGCTTGAGGTGATCCACCCCGGCCGCGCCAACGTCTCCAAGGTGAGAGATCTCGGCCCCGTCCTGTATGCCCGTCTCATGTGGCCGGAGCTTCTGGCCTGGATCTCAGGATTGTTCTGTTTCTTCTCTGTGTGTAGGCGGAGTTGAAGGAGAGGCTTGCTAAGGTGTACGAGGTGAAGGACCCCAACACCATCTTCGTCTTCAAGTTCCGCACCCACTTCGGAGGAGGCAAGTCCACTGGCTTCGGCCTCATCTACGACAACCTCGAGGCTGCCAAGAAGTTCGAGCCCAAATACCGCCTCATCAGGGTATGTTGTCGCCTGGCCCTTGCTTTTGTTGCCTCTAGCTATGATGTTAAGCTCTTGCATATAGAAATTTGATAGTTGGACAGTAAAATGCATGATTGCTTATTTAGTACCGCTGGCATCATATGTGTCACTGTTGTTATACTTGGTAACTCTTCTTAGTAAGTAAACCCTGTTCTGTCACTTTGTTTTTTGTGGGATCATCATTGCACCTGTGAAACTAGAGATTAGTTGTGACTAGCACAGCTTTTCTGTAAATGGTTTCACATTGATATGCACGTGCACGCTAATTGTTTGTAAATGGTACCTGTGATTGAGATCGTGCTAGTAGAAACTGAAGTTCAGGCAATCTTCGTGTCGAAACTACAGTTTTTTTTTGGGTAGTGTGCCTTCCATTCTTGTTCTATGCTGAGAAACTGTTTTTACCACACAATTTTGTCATTGTAATATTTTCATTTATGTCACAACTTCAGATACTCATCTATGATGACAATATCATGATGCAATCTAGTTTCAACATTGAACAAGAACTGTTTGTGATATACATCCTCTTTGGCAACTCTTTTCCCTTGCTGGTCGTTGATAGTAGTTTTAATGTACTAATGCATGACCGAAATGATTTGTGATTGTTGTATTGTAAGTTCTGATTGACATGAACCTGATGGATGTTCACTATACTGCTGCTACTGAGGCTATTCCTTTGCTTAATTTTTTTGTGTTTCATTTGGCTAGAATGGTCTTGCTACCAAGGTTGAGAAGTCCCGCAAGCAAATGAAAGAGCGGAAGAACAGGGCCAAGAAGATCCGTGGTGTCAAGAAGGTGAGCTATTTATCTACTTATCATGATACTTCTGACCTGCAGTTCCCTTTGCAATTGTACTATTGTAGTACTGTGTCACTTGTGCTTACCTATACTAATGTAATATGTGCTTTCTGTCTTCTACAGACCAAGGCTGGTGATGCGAAGAAGAAGTAAACATTCATTTACATCTGTATTACTGTTCTGGACTCTGGGTGGTCTAGTTGCAATGTCATAATTATGGTCGTGTTAGGTTTTGTTCCACCCTCAGCACTGAAGTGAAGTTTTGTAATTCCTGGTTGTGAACCTACCCAGATTCGCTGTAGCATGTTATGAGATGAGAAGGCTATTAACTTGCAAGCCAACCTATTTTGTCATGCAGTTGTGTGATTTGCTCACCTTTCTGATGCCTATCAGCTTTGATTGTGTTGCCTTTGCGCTAGTGATTGCTCATGAACTAGGACATTTCAGGTTCACATGGTCAGAATATTACTCAGTAACATAATTGCCGGCCCCTGCTCTAGTTGGGGTGCGGTTTGGTTGTTTCGACATTTTTTTCAAGGTTGATATTTATTTGCATTACATTTGCTAGTCTTGAAGTTATCATTTGAAACAAGTATTTGCCACAGCTCATGTCGATGGTGTAGACATGATAGTTACACGTCATTGTTGGTACATGATTATCCAGAGGAGCACAATGAACAACTGTAAGTCATTGTTGGTACATGATCATCCAGAGGAGCACATTGAACAACTGTCTTCTGTCTAGTCATTGTGGGTACATGATCATCCAGAGGAGCACAATGAACAACTGTCTAGTGTCGACGTCAGTTCCTGTTCCTTATGGCGCTCTTGACCATGTTCCCGGGCATGGAGGACGACGGTGTCACGGCCTTCCGTATCTTGAAGAGGTTCCACGCCGTCCCCACTGCGTGGCCGGCCGTCGCGAACGCGTCTTGGGTTGCCTCCCCTGCGCTCTCGCCGTACCTGAATCGACCGTGCCTCCGGCATGATACTATCTTCTACCCAAAATTCGTTTTTCTAACCGACATTCGAGTGTTCTTACCTCCTGGACACTGCACCGGCGACGACATTTGAAGTTGCAGCAAGCGACTTCTTCTCAGCGGCCTCTACCGCATCCATTACTTTGTCTGTGACGGAAAGGCAAGAGTGATCCACAAAGTTTTGGGCATGCTCTATTCTTCCACCATATACTTAGTCTGAACATTATGCTTTCTAAAGAGGTTGGCAGCAGCAGGGCACTCACTGATGGCATCAAGAGATGCCAGAATGACCTCGCCGGGTACGGTGGCGAGGAATGCTCTCCCTTGCTTGGAGCGGATCAGCGGCGCTGCCATGGACCCGGTCACCGAGATGACCGTATCGAGCAGCGACTGGCTCATCTTCTCGGTCATCTCCGACAGCTTCCTGACCCTGAAGAGCCAACCCGATAAGCACAGCTTGCTATTAACATGAGCATGGTAGCATCATCTGATGCACAAAAGCAGGGGCAGCATGCATAGGTACTTGAGTTACCTCTTGAGACTCTTGTTGACTGCTCCACGCTTGGTGCTCGCCTGGCTGCTCCTGTCAGCACCACCAGCGTCGCCGAATCGGCTCCGCGCGCTGCCGGCAGCTTGAGGACGAAAGAGATCGGCTCCTCTTTGAACCTGCAAGCAGCAATGGTCCGGACCATCAGCCATGACACACAGCGATTCTCCACTGGATGGACTTGGCAGAACGCACGGGTCCACGGGCGGGCCAGACAGCGTACAGAGCACCTGGCTGGCGTAGGCCTCGCTGCACATGAAGATGCCCTTCACGAGCTGGCCGGTGCCCGCGGCGATGGCCTTGGCAAGCACGCCGTTGTAGCCTTCCATCCTCGGCGCGAACTCGTTCCAGTACCCGTCCGACGCAACCGGCTGCTGCTGCTGCGGCGGCGGCTTCCTGGAGCTCTTGGACGGAACCACCGCGTAAGAAGGTGCGGAGAAGCACGCGCTGGAGCGGAGCAAGCCGTCGAGCGACACCAGCGCGGAGGCGTCGGCGTCGGCGGCGGCGGCGTTGAAGGAGACGCCGTAGTTGAGGAACGTTCCGTCCTTGTCCGGCAGCGTGAAGAGGTAGTGCAAGCGGTCGAGCTTGACGACGGGCTCGTCCCGCGCGAGCGGCCAGCCCAGGTCCTTGCCGACGCGCACCGCGGTGGCCACGGCCACGTCGTCCTTGGTGAGCCTGACGACAGCGAGGTCCCCGCGCGCGAGCTCGACGGGCCCGTCGGAGCCGGCCATGAGGTGCACGGACGCGCCCGGGACGCGCAGCAGCGTCTCCTCGTGGATGCCCCGCGGCCTGGCGGACATGGCGCCACAGCAGTCCATTGCCACTGAACGCGACGAGTAATTCAGATATATAGCTGAGTTTCGTGATGAAGGTCTCAAGGACGTAGCTGCCAGAGACATGTATATATGTATCCAATATCGGACTGGAAAATTCGAATAATTCCATTGCAACAAGGCCATGCTTTCTCGTTCCTTTTCGGCGCGAGCGCCTTTATTCCATCCTTCGCGGCTAATACATTCGCTTCACATCACCAAAGGATGACAATGGAATAACAGCCGTTGTCGTCCAAACATTTGGTTAGTGTAGTAATAGAGTACTGTATTAGAAAAAAGAGAAGGGTAGGATCAAACAGTTCATTTGAAACCGAGCCAATAGTTTTGCAAGTTTAAAGTCTGGAACAACAGAACGGAGCGAGCAGCAACTGTGTCACCTTTGGTAACGAAACAGATCACACAGATGCAAAGGCACAGAAGTGAGCAGCACTGTGAAATATTATGCTGATGGAATAAGTAACAAGGGCAAGTGCATTTAATCATGCAAAAGACCGGAACTCTTATCTAAAAAAATATAGCTTCAGTAGCGGCCTTAAGAAGAAGGAAGTGCAATACAAACGTCGAGGACGATAGGTCGACAGCCTGGCAAGAAAAAAAGAACAAAATAAAAAGTAAAAGGGAAAGAAGAGACCCGAGAAATCATAAGTCATTGAGTCAATAGCCCCAGAAGAGCAGCGTGAGGTTAGGTTATTGAAAGCAGCACGACCTCAAGCAAACATCTCTCATGACTTAGGTCCTGCAAAGTGTACTGTTGAATGACTTTTTTTCGGTTCATTCAGGCATCACTTCTACCTGTGCCCGAACACTGCAACCACCGATGGTTTCATTCACGCATCACCACTACCGGTGCCCGAACACCCGAACACTGCAACCACCGATGGTTTCATTCACGCATCACCACTACCGGTGCCCGAACACTGCAACCACCGATGCTTAAAAAAAATCTGACTTCGGCGCAAGCATAGGCATCGGCGCTTGCTCATTAAACAGTTATTGTGGGTGTTGAAAAGCCGGAGCAGTACAAGCAGATAAGAAGCGAGTGGAAATTTTTTAATCATATGTGGGTTCTGCTACAAAAGACGGTGATGTTTCACGCTGTAGCGTTTACTAGCGAAACTAGCAATTTTCTAACATGACTTCAGGCATTGGTAGTGAGGTTACACTCACGGCATGTGCTTGGAGTGATTCCTAAATAAGAGAGAGAAGAAACTGGCACCACTCCTCACGCTATGGCAAGCAGTGCTGACTTTTAAGTGATGCTAGAAAAATCGGAGCATGGAAAGAAAGCCATTATTACTATATACAACAATAAATCTACTATAGCAGCACATACATGGGACTATGGGAGGGATTCCGTGAGCTATATTTTTACTTACATGAGTCCTAACTCCGGCCACTGCAAAGTGCTGCAATGTGCCCCCCCTCCCCCGAGCGCTTCTAGGGGCGACTCGGGGGCCTCCGCACCGACGCCTCTAGGGCCACCACCTCCCGACCTCAGCGGCGGCCCGAAAAAATGGAACCGTTAAAGCTCAAGTTTGGTTTTGATGAATTGATGAAACCCTAAGTGCTAACCTAGTTTATCAAGTGATCATGAGATATGTAGCACACTTCAAGTGGTGAAGCAAATGAAGATCATAGCATGATGATGATGATTGCATGGTGATGATCAAGTGCTTCGACTTGGAAAGAAGAAAGAAAAAAACAAAAACCTCAAGGCAAAGTTATATTTTGTAGGAGCTATTTTGTTTTGGTGATCAAGACACTTAGAGAGTGTGATCATATTTAGGTTTGATAGCCGTACTATTAAGAGGGGTGAAACTCGCATCGGAATGCGGTTATCAAAGTGCCACTAGATGCTCTAACTCATTGCATATGCATTTAGAATCTAGTGGAGTGCTAACACCCTTGAAAATATTTGTGAAAATATGCTAACACATGTGCACAAGGTGATACACTTGGTGGTTGGCACATTTGAGCAAGGGTGAAGTAGATAGACGTGAAGAGGAGTTGGTCTCGCTGGTCACAAAGTGACCGGGCGTTGTCTCAGAGGAACCAGCGCGTCCGGTCAGTTGTAACAACGAAGACGCTGGCGTCGGTAAAACGATCGGACACTGGGTCGCTCAGCGACTGGACGCTGGAAGGCTGTGTCCGGTCGTGTTGACCAACAGCGCAGAATGAAGTCAACAAGTGACCAGACGCTGGCTGTGTCCGGTCAAGCATGACCGGACACGTCCGGTCGTGAAATATCGTTTCTGAAACCTTACTGGAAACGACCGGACGCTGGAGGCTCAGTGTCCGGTCAGTTTGTGCGCAGTGTCCGGTCAACAGATGACCGTTGAAATCTGATGAATAGCATTTGAAGCAGGGGACACATGGCGTGTATCACGTGAACGTACGCTGAGGGCCAGCGTCCGATCGATCGGACCAGAGCGTCCGGTCACCCCGCGCTGTACCCAGTGAAGGGGTACAACGGCTCTATTTCGTGGGGGCTTCTATTTAAGCCCCATGACCGGCTCAAGCTCATACTCTTTACCATTTTGCATTGACATAGCAACTTTGTGAGCTTAGCCAAAGCCCTCCCACTCATCTCCATCATTGATTCATCATCTTTGTGAGATTGGGAGAGAATCCAAGTGCATTGCTTGAGTGTTTGCATCTAGAGGCACTTGGTGTTCGTGTTTCGCTGTGGGATTCGCTTGTTACTCTTGGTGGTTGCCGTCACCTAGACGGCTTGGAGCAGCGAGGATCGTCGAGCGGAGGGTGGTGATTGTCTCCGGCTCTGATCGTGGTGATTGTGAGGGGTTCTTGACCTTTCCCCGGCGAAGAGCCAAAAGTTACTCTAGTAAATTGCTCGTGGCTTGTGTGATCCTCGTCTTGTGTTGGTTGTGCGGCACCCTATTGAGAGTTTGGCGTGTGATGCCAATTAGCGCGTGAACCTCCAAGTGAGTGAATCGCCACAACGAGGAGTAGCTTGCCGGCAAGCAAGTGAATCTCGGTAAAAATCATTGTGTTCATCATTTTGATTCCGAGGTGATTGGTCTTCATTATTATTCATCCTTGTGATTGATTGGCTCCATCCTCGACACGGCGGTATAACTATCTTGCTCATACTCTTTACATTACCTCAAACTAGTTGTCAAGCTCTTTAGTGTAACTAGTTGTGAGAGCTTGGTTGGTTGGTTGGTATGGCTCTTTAGTTAGCCTTTAAGAGTACACTAACTTAGGGTAGTGTCATAGCTATTGTGTGAATAGATACTATCTAAATTAGAATTGTGGTAGGTGGCTTGCATTTTGAGTAGGCTAGCGCAACACTAACTTCGCCTCATAATTATCTAACCATTTTGTTAAGTGTTGTTGTAGAAATTTTTATTAGGCTATTTACCCCCCCTCTAGCCATTAGGACCTTTCAACCGTCCGCACCATCACCTCCCTCACCGTCGCTCCTACAACCCCCACCCCCTCCCCCCAACCCTCTTCTTCTCCGGCGAGGTAGGGCGGCCGGTCGACCGGATCTGCTCCCCCCCAGGGTCGGATCTGACGTCTGCAGCCCGCACGCATCCTACCCCCTCGGCCTTGGGTGCGTGCGGCCGGCGGCGACCGGTGCCAGCGGTCTTCGGTGAGCTTGGGCGGTCGGCCGCCCGGATCTGCCCCCCTTGCGCCAGATCTGGCGCATACCTCCTGCTGCTGCGGCGGCCAGGTCGCGGCGGCAGATGGCCGGCGACCGCCCCCCTTATAGGCAGGCGGGTCAGACGTGCGGCTCTCGGTTTGCGCGGCATCGACACAGGGCTCGTCCTGCGACGTTCTCTGGTGGCTTCTCGCTGCTTGCTGCTCGTCGCGCGGCACAGGGCTCGTTTCTTCGGTGGCGCCTGGCCTCGGTTTGCGGCGTCGGCGCGGGGCTCGGCCTACTGGTGAGCTCTGCGAGCAAGAGGGGTCCTGCGCACCGAGCGGTGGCCGGACTCACTGCTCGCCGGCCTAGGCACCCCCACTCCCTTCTCTGCTGGCGTGCACGGCGGTCGGGGCCTGCAGTCGGCTATCTGTGGAACGCCTCAATGGTTGTGCCCGAACAGTTTCTTAGGTGAAAACTCTGCCCGGCTTCATGCTTTTGGGCCGGTGACGATGGTACAACATGTGCAATCCTTCTTCTTGAAGCCGTCGTTGAAGTTTCTGTTCGGGGCGTGGAGTAGTTGGGGGCGGCTCCGGGACGAAAGTCCTCGTGCTCTTCGTTCAACGTCGTTGGCGTCCGTGGATGTCATCCCCTTCTTGGAGGCTTCGTTGGAGCACTTGTGCTGCTGTCCCTTCTCACCGGAGTTGCTCCTGTGTTGTGTCTGCATGTGCTTTAGCTTGTTCTTCACTTTGGTCTGCCCAGCTTGGATGTTTGGTGTTGCCGTCGTCGTCTGGTTCTTCGCAGCAGATGCTTGGCCGCTTGCGCTCTTTTCGAGAGTTTTGCCGCCGTTGTCGCTACCTCTTCGCGAATGCTTTGCCGCGTGGTCTCTAGGCGGATGCTTTGCCGCCGTTGTTGCTACCTCTTCGCGGATGCTTTGCCGCGTGGTCTCTGGCGGATGCTTTGCCGCCATGCTGGTTGTTCGGGCGGATGCTTTGCCGCCGTAGTTGTCTCTTCTCGGTGGAAGCTTTGCCACCGCGGCTTCATCTCCCTAGCTAGCAGTCTTTTGCGTTGTTATCCCTTGCAGGTCCAGTCGGTTAGGTTGTGGCGGATGACCCTCTCCCTACCATGTTTCTTTCTCTTGTGTATTTTGTTCTTAACCACTTTCTCTGTGGTTCGTGTGCTACGCTATGGGTTTTTCCATAGTCGCGTCGTGTAAGCCGTTCTTTCGGCACTCCCACTTCTTAATGAAATACACGTCAATGCGTGTTCTCGAAAAAAAAAGAGTCCTAACTCCTATAAGGATAGATAGCTTCGATGTCCAGTTTTCTGCACGCTGCACTATTGAAGTTTCAGTGTGGGTCCTAATTTTTTTTAAGCATCA